AGAAACACTGTCCTAGACACTTCCCCATCTTCAAGTTGACAAGGTTGAGAAACACTGGTCTATTGTTTGCAGTGAAGGCCTAAGCCAGAGACGGGCAACTATGGCGATTTTATAACCTGTGGAGGTCAACTCCCAGAATCCCTGAATCAGCAGAGCTCAGTAATTCTGGGAGTTGAAGTCCGGACATCTTCAAGTTGCCAGGGTTAAGAAACACTGTCCTAGACACTTCCCCATCTTCAAGTTGACAAGGTTGAGAAACACTGCTCTAGAGGCTCCGGCCAGACAGGCAGCCCACACCCTCTGCAGTCCGACACACAGCTCCCATCCCTGTTGCTATACATCAATGCACCCCACACAGCCATTCCCACATTTCCTGTTATTCCCCAGGCACGAAAGTCCCACGGAGGTTATTCTGACATGAGCTCTGGGACCGTCTTCACGGCTTCAGGGAACTGGGTGACCACCCAGGAAAGGACTCATCTCATTATGGTCCAAAGTTGCAAATGATCTCTTTACTGGGCTCTCAACCACAAATTCCTGAAGACGGAAGAATGGAAAAGAAAGAACTCTTTAAACTTAGTAAGGCATAATTAATCCTGTCGCACATAAAGGGTGGGGAAAATAGGCACAGATGTTCTATTCTTGTATCCTTACGCCCCCATTAACCACAGTAACTAATAGCTCTGGTAGCCAATGCAGCTCCCATAGAATAGGTGTTACTCCGGTGAGGTATGTTTGATCCATCTGTGGTTTCTAGGTAGCCGTCAAAACCGGTCCCAACGTAGGAGTTGGGTTGACTGCACAGACCCTCCCCCCGTGGTCAAGGCACTCCAAAACCTGGTGTTTCCTTTAAACTGGACCACAGAAGCAGGCACTCCGGACAGAGGGACCATCCTTGTGGGTCCCAGACTGAGAATTCCGCTTCTCGATTATGCCTGAAGGGCCCAATTGCTAGCCACAGATGCACGAGCACGGTGAATTGGATCACTTTTCTAGAGGGAAGCAGTGGGATCCTACTTAGAGCTTAGGATCTCTCCGCCCTTAACGTTGACATAGGCTGGCAAAGCCCTGGCATCGCATTGGATTACCTGGTGCCCCTCGTGCACCCTAGTTTGTCAACTTAGACCAGAGAAGAAATCCGATGTTGCTGAATACAGCGGTGAAGTCATGGCATGCGTTTCACGCTATCCAAAGCAGCAGCATTGCAGGCAAATTCCTAAAGGTGGGAGAACGTTCCCAGGAACCCCATCCAGACAGGACACTTCCTGGGAGCGCTGTCCAATCGAAGGAACC